AAAAAAAAAAAAAAAAAGGAAGAAAAAGATATAAGTATAATCCCAGGAGCTAAAAACCTTGAGTGCCAGGAGTGAGACCAGCTATCCTAAATCTGTCTTTTACTACTACTGGAGAAAATGCTCTAGGATGGACACCAGGTCGTGCCCCTCCACCCCACAACCACTATCTTCCCACTTGAAATTCTTCCATAGATCTTTCTTAATAAGTGGACACATGATGACATCAACTCTGGAATGCAATGCATGATGCCAGTCATACTCTGGCCCTGCTACTAATCAATCTGTGGGGAGGAAGCTCCTCCTGGAAGCCTTCCTCACTCCTGGGGGGTGCAGACAGAACCCCTTCTTTCATGCTCCCAGGCAGCGGGGACTTGCTCCTCCTGGGAACGCGCCTTTCATCTGTGATCTCCAGCATGTAACATGAGACGAGCTGAACAGAGTGGGCTCTCCACAAATATTTGTTGAATATATACATTCTTTACTAATGGTGCCAACAAACAAGAGTTTGTTTTTAAGCAAGGTTTGACTCATGGTAGTGTTTAATCTTTCAGGCAGACCTTTCAAAGCCAAAGTCAGCAGCCCTGGCTCTCACATCAATGTGGCTCTTCCACTTCCTTGCAAATGAGATTACCTTGTTTACCTATGCTTCATATCAAGAACAATAAAAGTCACCAGGTGGGACACGGTATAAACCCAGCACTCTGGGAGGCCAAGGCGGGTGGATTGCTTGAGCTCAGGAGTTCAAGATCAGCCTAAGCAAGAGTGAGACACTCTCTACACTTCCCCCCATCTCTACTAAACTAGAAAATTAGCTGGGTGTTGTGGTGGGCGCCTGTAGTTCCAGCTACTGGGGAGGCTGAGACAAGAAGATCGCTTAAGCGCAGGAGTTTGAGGTTGTTGTGAGTTATGATGTCATGGCACTCTACCAAAGGTGACAAAGTGAGACTGTCTCAAAAATAAATAAATAAATAAATAAATAAGTGAATCACGCAAATATCAGGAGACAAGACCAGGGTCACACAAACTCATTCTTAGAACGCACAATCCAGAATAGCCAGGCACTCGGGGCCCTGGAGTGAGCACAGGGGCTGCGGGGCAGCACTGGGGAAACATCTCCACTCCGGTCTTGGCATCTAGTCCCTAATCCCCAAGTTCCCTGCTTTGCCAAGTTTGCTTCGTTGGGCAGAGGTGAGTTTCCAGACCCATTGACAAAGGATACAGAGCAATTTGGGGTAGTAAATGGTGATGTGCTTTCCCTGGAAGGCGGGATTAAATGCTAGATATGCTTCTGACTGTTTCTACAATCTTTAGCCTTCATCAAACGTTATCGGTGTCCCTAGGTATCAGTCTATACAGAACATTAAAATGAGAGCTCCAGAGTTACTACAAGTGGCTGTGTCCCAGGCGCGCACCATAGGAAGGAGGACGGAGCCCAACAAGGATCCACCGACGGAGTGGGGCCACGTGGCCAGCACCCCACAGGTGGCATTACCAAAGAGGCAGGAAAAAGAGAAAGCCACACCCAGAGGTCCAGACTTGGGAACAGAAGTTCCATTACTGAAGAGCTGGGGCACAGAGATGACCAGAGGAAGGGAGGGCCAGACCAGGAAGCCGATGGCTACAAAGCCAGTGTTGGCTCAAGGCAAAGCAGTCACCACTGCAAAGACAGCCTCTCCAGAAAGGCAGGACGTGCTGCTGACCACAGTGGGCGCAGTGCCAATGAAGGGACAGAGAGAAGTGACCACAGCAGCTATCTTACCAAAGGAGAAGACGGCTCAGGCCACCCCACCTATCCTGCCCAAGGAGAAGGCAGTTCAGGCCACCCCACCTGCCCCACCCAAGGAGAAGATGGCTCAGGCCACCCCACCTATCCCACCCAAGGAGAAGGCAGTTCAGGCCACCCCACCTGCCCCACCCAAGGAGGAGAAGGCTCAGGCCACCCCACCTATCCCGCCCAAGGAGGAGAAGGCTCAGGCCACCCTACCTGCCCCACTCAAGGAGGAGAAGGCTCAGGCCACCGCACCTGCCCCACCCAAGGAGGAGAAGGCTCAGACCACCCCACCCACTGCCCCACTCCATAGCCACACCACACAGAAAGCCCGGAGACAAGAGCTGAAGGCCGCCAACTTCAAGGCTGAACCTCAGTGGGATTTTGAGGAAAAATACAGTTTAGAGGAGGGGGGCCTCCAGACGGTGAGTTCTCCACACCCCTGTCCCTTCCGGCTCCTGCTCTGCAGCCCCTTCCGGGAGGCAGCCCTCCCTCACCCTCTCAGTGTCTCCGGCAGTGGGCGGTTTAGGCTTGGCCTTGTCCTGTCCGGAGCTCAGTCCTGCCCTTCTCCTGTCCCAACCACCCTTCCTGTGATGGCCTTGATAGGGGAGAGAGAGAAGCAGACCCCAGAGTCCTGGTTTGGACAGTGGGAAAGGAGTGGGTAAGGAAGGGCCTCCTCGGAACCTAAGGGAGGCCTGGGGGCTCACCAGTGTGAGGGTGAGAGGGCGTGACCTGCTCTGGGGCCTGCTACCCAAATTCTCATCCTCCAGCAGGGGGAGGGCTTGGGACTAACAGGCACCCCAGTCTCACACCCCATCCCCAGCTGAGCCTGTCTCTCCTACAAGGCCAATGTGCAAACTGCACTCTCTTCCAACCCTAAGAAAACAATCTGGACTTAACCATATCCCCCAGCTGTCATCCTATGTCCTTGCACAGAGGGCAGGATTCAAGATGTGCTGTTCTCTCTCTCTCTCTCATACACACACACAATCATATGCTGGACACATGGGGCACTCGAGGTGTGGTTCTTCTCACACTGGCAAAGGCACATATGTTGAGGGCCCAGAACGTCCATTGCCCGGGAGACCTTGGGACCACAGTGGGCCTCGATGATGGAAGGGGACTGGGATGGCAGAGGCAGCAGAGACAGTGCTTCCCCACTGTGAGGCTCGGCCCTGGCCTATAGCCTCCCCCCACCCACCTGACCTAGTCCTCCTGCCCATAGACCTGCACAGATTCTGTGAAGGTCAAAGCCTCCAAGTCACCATGGCTCCGGAATCTCTTTCTGCCCAACCTCACCCTCTTCCTGGACTCCAGCCGCTTCAACCAGAGGGAGTGGGAGCGCCTGGAACACTTTGCCCCACCCTTTGGCTTCATGGAGCTCAATCACTCCTGTGAGTACTCACCCGCTGCCGCGTGCGCTGTGGGCAAGGGCAGCGGGCAGTGGGCCTTCTGTCTCTGGTCCGCCAGACCTGGAAGAGATGATGGGCTGGACTCCTGTCCCTTCCAGGGCTCTGAGTGGAGCCCCCCTTGTTGCAGTGGTGCAGAAGGTGGTGACACGCTTCCCTCCCGTGCACCAGCAGCAGCTGCTCCTGGCCCGCCTCCCCCCTGGGAGCTCCCGGTGCACCACTTGTGCCGTGGTGGGCAATGGGGGCATCCTGAACAACTCCCACGTGGGCCAGGAGATAGACAGGCATGACTACGTGTTCCGGTGAGTGGCTACTCTGAGTCCCCTCTCTTGTCTTGCCCTCCCCTGCAGATAAGGGCTCTTCTGAGAGAACCAATGTGGCATGGAATGTGGAATTCCTGGGCGCTCCTGAGAATTGCAGCATCCACCAGCTGCCTCCCTTTCTCCTTCCTCTCCTTCTCCACCTACACCAGCTCCCTGCTCCACTCACCTGCTCCAAATGATTTTTTTCTGCACAGACTAAGTGGGGCTCTCATTAAAGGCTACGAGCAGGATGTGGGTACCCGGACATCTTTCTACGGCTTTACTGCTTTCTCTGTCACCCAGTCACTTCTCGCCTTGGGCAAGCGGGGTTTCCAGAGTGTGCCTGTGGGGAAGGTGAGCAAGGAGGAAGGGAGCCTGCCCACACCCAGAGTCTGGATAAGGAAGCACGCAGGCAGGAAAGGGAGATGAGAATCTTGTGTCTGGGTGGGGTCTGTGGTTGGTATAGTGCCCTTCATATAAGGGGAAAGAACAGGGAGGAAGCCAGACCTGGCCAAGACCAGAGCAAGTGGGCAGTCTGCAGTCAGAGCCTGAGGCAGGGCTCTATGACCACCCGCTGTCCTTGGTCCCCAGGACATCCACTACCTGCATTTCCTGGAAGGCACCCGGGATTATGAGTGGCTGGAAGCACTGCTTCTGAATCAGACCGTGAAGACAAAAACTCTTTACTGGTTTAAGTATCCATTGCCCTCCCCTACTTCCTTACCCCATGCTGAGCTGTGCACTGTGTGGCTATGGAGGGTTGGGCAGGTGGGGACAGCTTTAGCCTTCCCCTGGAGGTGGAGTCACATCCACAACCCTGACATGGCCCACGCCACGTGGTGGGCAGGTGAACTGAACCCAAATGACCCATTCCTGACCACAGGTACGGGCGGCCCCAGGAAGCGTTTCAGAAAGCCTTTCGATTGGACAGATACCTATTGCTGCATCCAGACTTTCTCCGGTACATGAAGAACAGGTGAGAGCAGAAAGCATGCGGAGGGCCCAGGTGCCTGTCATCCCTGTGGATCCTGACAGTTGGGGTCTGGGGCATTTCATAGGTTTCTGAGGTCTAAGACCCTAAACGGTGTCCACTGGAGAATATACCGCCCCACCACTGGGGCCCTGCTGCTGCTCACCGCCCTCCACCTCTGTGACCAGGTAGGGCTGTACTTCAGGAGCAGAAACACCAGGAGAGGCAGCCCAGGACAGTGAGTGTGTGTCCGTGCATGTGTGTGCACCTGGGAGACCTGCTCCCAGACCCCTAGAGATGGAAACAAGACAAACAGATCCTCCCCACCCCCAGAGTTAGCCCACGAGCTGAACCCAGGAGGCAGCACCTCCAGGCCTATTTCTTCCTCCCTTCTTTACGCAGGTCAGTGCCTACGGCTTCATCACAGAGGGGCACGAGCGCTTTTCTGATCACTACTATGATAAGTCATGGAAAAAACTGATCTTTTACATAAACCATGACTTCAAATTAGAGCGAGACGTCTGGAAACGGCTACATGATGAAGGTATAATCCGGCTGTACCAGCGGCCAGAAATTGCTGGAGCAAAGAACTGACTGGGGCTGGCCGGAGGCATCTCTTCCCCACGTCCAAGGCACAGCGCAGTCCTAGTCTTGAGACTCTTTTAGTGTTTCTCCAGGCTCCGTCCAGTGTCCAACCCCTTTGAAAGCTTGGGGGGAACACTCGAAAAGAGGACATGACTCTCTCAAGATGGCAAATGATTGTTCATGGTTTACAAGTTCTTCAGAATGTTGCTGTACATTCTGAAGGAGATTCCCAAGACCAGGGATTTTCAACCAAATGGGATGATTAGTGGTCAACACCACAATTTCTGCTGGAAAGCATTTTCCTGTCCAAAAGTTTCTGGATACCGAGCCAGGCCCCATGGCTCATCCCAGCACTCTGGGAAATTGAGGTGGGTGGATTGCCTGAGCTCACCGGTTTGAGACCAGCCTGAGCCAGGGCAAGACCCAGTCTCCAAAAATAGCTGGTCATTGTGGCAGGTGCCTGTAGTTCCAGCTACCTGGGAGGCTGAGGCAAGAGGATCGTTTGAGCCCAAGAGTCTGAGGTTACTGTGAGCTGTGAAGCCACAGCACTCTACTGAGGGCGACAAAGTGAGACTCTGTCTCAAAAAACAAAAAACAAAAAACAAAAGCTACCTGGTACAGAGGAAGGAGCCATAACTTATAGAGACATATAGATCTGATTTGAATTCCAGATCTTTTGTTTAGAAGCTGTGAAAACTTGAAGGTGTTACCTAATTTCATTACAGATCAGCTAGAGGACCCTTTCAGGGTGTCTGATTCTAGAAGGGTCTGCTCTTGTGTTTAAACTATTTGATAACTCTGTGCATTGTGGAAAATGGGTAGTAATATAAGTGATCCTTGTCCATAGAGATGCAAATACATTTTGTACAAGGAAGAAACAGTTAATTATTACCTTGTGGATAATGACCAGTTTTGTACCTATTAGCAAATTCTTTTTCATATTCCTGATTACCTATATGTGTGTCTATATTATTCCTATAATTAATGAGTCAAATCTTTGACATATATTCATTTTATCTGCTATTTATTTTATTATTATTATTATTGAGACAGAGTCACACTCTGTTGCCCAATCTAGAGTGCCATGGCCTCGGACTATCTTACAGCAAACTCAAACTCCTGGGCTCAAATGATCCTCCTATCTCAGCCCCCTGAGTACCTAGCACTACAGGAGCCCACCACAAAGCAGGCTAATTTTTGTATTTTTAGTAGAGACCGGGTCTTGAACTCCTGGTCTCAAGGGGTCCTCCCATCTCCACTTCCCAGAGTGCTAGGATTACAGGTCTGAGCCACTGGGCCAGGCCCATATATTCATTTTATATTGATATGAAATTCATGATTTTACCCTTTGAGAAAAATCATCCTTTAACATTTTTTTTAGACTACAATTTTCTAATCTGTGAAATGGCTTTTGAGGTGTTAGTTTCATAAGGACTTTTTAAATCACTGTATGTAAACAGCCTGACATAACAAGAAGTTTGTCTTCCTTTGCCTTCTATTCTTCCATCTTCCCATCAACCTGCTTTCTTTCTCAAACCCCATGATGAGAATTTAAGCTAAGCCAAAGACACTTCAGTTCACCTTGCCCTTGAAGCTCTCTCTCTGGATTTGGACTCTGGATCCCAGGCAACTCCAATGATCCTAAACAGAATAAGGGCCCTTGGTAAGGTGGTGGAAAGAGAAAACTAAAGGGAAGGAGGGAGGAAAGGCGGAGGAGAGAGAGAGGGAGGGAGAGAGAGGGGAGAAGGAGAGGGGAGAGGGAGAGGGCGGCGGAGGAGAAGGGAGAGGGCGGCGGAGGAGAAGGGAGAGGGAGAGGGAGAGGGAGAGAGAGAGAAATAATGGCTCTGGGCGCAGTGCCAGCGCCGGACAGCAGGCGGCGCAGCTCTGCTGTCGGTTCTCCGCGTGGCTCTGCTCCCAGTGGTGGAAATGTTCCGTCGCACATCCTAGGGGCAGGCCGCTGCGGTGGTTGCTATGGCGCCCGAAGCTTGGGATGCACAGAGCCGACTTTGCGGGCCCTGCTTGAGGGGTTCGTTTGGGGGCAAGGCTCCAGGAGCGCTGCTGGGGCGGAGGATTTTGTGCTTAGGGTGGGCAGGACAGAGCTGCGTGCGGGGCTAGGAGACGAGCAGGTAGCAGGGGACAGCGGGCGAAGGCGCCCAGGGGGGCGCGTGGGACTCTGCACGCTCCAGCGCCCCACTCCACTCCCCGGGGCTGCGGCCAGGGCAGGACTGGCGGAGATGACCTGAGGGAGGCTCCGTGATGGGAGTTAAGGGTCTGATCTGCCCGGCTCGCCCCCTTCCCAGCGCCCAGCACCCTGCAGGAGGCGGCGGGCCGCCCAGGCGAGCACGCAGGATGCCCCCAGCCTAACCCGAGCTTCTCTGCTCTGCACAGCAGAGAAGTGCTTCCCCCCAAACCACTAGTCACCACATCTGGTCAGAGCAGGAGAGAAAATGGGTAGTTACTGGCAAAGAAGTCCTTTACCCCCGCTCATCCTCCTCAAATTTAAACTGGGGCTACACAAGCTTAGGCTGAGCCTCACTTAGGGGTGTTACTCTGGGTCCAAAGTGGAATAAACTGATGAATTAACTCACCCGGGAGGGATCACCCAATAGAATAGGAAAAGTCAGCCAGAGGCATAAGAATGAGGACAGATAGCAAAATTACCCCTGTGTGCAGGTGATATGATTGTACATGACAGAAGGTACGACAAATTTGGCAAAAGGGGAAATGAAGTCAGGGACATATTAGTCCAAGTTTACAATACCATGAAGAAAATGGCCATGTACAAATGGAGTATACATTTTTCTGAGAGGAGAGAAAGCATCACTGATGAAGAGAGGTGAAGGTGGGTGGTCAGTCATGAGCAGAACTGATGAAAACACTGTAAAAATTCATCCAATTGTACATCAAAATTGTTGGCTGACTGTGAGAAGCATAGCAGACTAAGTCATCGTTTAGGGAAACTGGAAAATCTCAACTGAAAATTTAGGCCAACAACTCATGGCTCTTGTATTATGACAATGCACCAGAGCATGTAGCACTCTCTGTGAGGGAGTTTTTAGCCAGAAAACAAATAATTCACCTGATCTGTCACCCCTGATAACTTTTTTCTTTACCCAGAGATAAAGAAAATATTTTGATGACATTTGGGACATCAGAAAAAGAGTTCCAAAATTGCTTTGGAGGGTAGACTAGGTGCTGGCATTGTGCACGGCTTCCCAAGGGGAGTACTTTGAAGGTGACAGTAGTGATATTCAGCAATGAGTTACCTAATACTTTTTCTAGGATAAGTTTGCAAACTTGTCACCATTTGCAAGTTCTGAGCTGACCCAAATACTGCAGGTGGCATTATTCAGCCCACCACAGCCTGGAAGACCTGCTTTCCATTCTTTTCCTTTATTCATTCAGCAGATTTCTCTTCAATGCCTGTGCCACACTGAACTAGCTGCTGGAAAACAGCAGCAAAGAAGACAGTCTCTGCCCTTACAGATTCACGGAGGATTAAACCAGAGAGGGTGGCCTGTTCTAGCTGGGGAGGAACATGAGCTATGAGAATATGTAGCAAGAGGATAGTGGTTACAGTTTCACAACTTTGTGAATATACTGGACAATCCACTGAATTCCCCACCCTGAAAGATGTAATAAAAATTGTTAACTTCCTGGTGTAACTGAGTGAATGGCTTGAGAACGGCAAAAATGTTCTTGTCTCTTTAAAACTCCTCATGCTTTTTGAGAACTAAAAGTTGCATCCTTGCCTCAGCCCAGAGGGTGAGAGGGACAGAGGAATGTCCTTTGTTTCTTGTGCTAAAAGAAATGACTCACTAGAACTGTCCAGGTGGAGTCCGGTCCAGGCCCAAAGAGGACATGAGAATGTCTTCCCCAGAGAAGAGACAGGTTAAAATCATCAGGCAGCTCTTGTGGCTCAAAGGAGGAGGGTGCTGGCCTCATATGCCAGAGGTGGTGGGTTCAAATCCAGCCCTGGCCAAAAAAAAAACACTGCAAAAAAAAAAAAAAAAAGCATCAACTGTAGTTAAACAGCAATTGCCTGAAAAGCTAAAAACACTCCCTTTTAAAACTCTGCAGTCCTGTTTATGATTAAGACAATGACATTTTAAGACAGGAGTCTCTATCCTTCTCATTTGCTGACAATTAATTCTCTTTCCTTTTCCTCAACCACTTGTCCTTGTTCTCCTGATGTGGCCTTGAGGACAAGTGCCAGGCTTTCCTTAACACTGGGAAATAAGGAGCACCTTTAAAAGTGCTTTAGTCCCTAAGACTAGAGGACTTTATTTACTCTAATAAAGATGTAAAGAATGAAATATGGAATCCCACCTCCACCCAATCACCCATCACTATACACATCTGAAAGATTATCTTACATTTCAAGCAGGAAGCAGGGGAAGCAAAAGGCCTTAGCACTTAGCATTCATCAGCTACAGCCGTTTTTATTTTTATTTTTTTATGTGTGAGACAGAGTCTTATTTTGTCACCCTGGGTAGAGTGCTACATGGCATCATAGCTCACAGAAACCTCAAATTCTTGGGTTCAAGTGATCCTCTTGCCTCAGCCTCCCAAGGATCTGCAACTACAGGCACTTGCCACAAGGCCCGGCTATTCTTTTTCTTTTTTAAGAGATAGGGTCTTGGTTCAGCGCCCATAGTTCAGTGGTTAGGGCGCCGGCCACATGCATTGGGGCTGGTGAGTTCAAACACAGCCCAGGCCTGCTAAACAACAATGACAACTACAACAAAAAGTAGCTGGGCATTGTGGCAGGCGCCTGTAGTCCCAGCTACTTGGGAGGCTGAGGCAAGAGAATCGCTTAAGCTCAAGAGTTTGAGGTTGCTGTCAGCTGTGCATCATGGCACTCTACCGAGGGTGACATAGTGATACTCTGTCTCAAAAAAAAAAAAAGAGAGAGAGAGAGATGGGAGTTGAACTCTTGAGCTCAAGTAATCCACACACCTCAGCCTCCCAGAGTGCTGGGATTACAGGCGTGAGTCACCACGCCTGGCACTACAGCCATTTTTATTTCCTTGTGCTTCCGAGGCTTAGCCAAAACCATGGCCAGAGAATGTGCAGCAAGGATAGAGACTCCTGTCTTAAGGTCCAAAGGAATATACAACAGTGGGGGGACAAGGGTCAAGGCACACGTTGCTGAGAAAGAGAATTGCCTTGAGCCTGAAGAAATCAGTGTCTTGAGTTAGCGTGTCTGACACTACAATTGAGTAATTTTCTGATATATTGTCAGACACAGAACTCTGGCTAGGCAAGAATAACAGACTGTTGTGGGGACCTGCCTGGCTCTCGGCCATTAGCCAGTTCCCCAGGCTAATGGCTGACACCTGT